TCCGTTCATCCATCCAACTAGTCAGCCATCAGTCAATCGTCATTCTGCAGGTCTGCCCGCCCGTCTGGCTTTCGGTCGGAGGAGTCAGCAGCGATCGATCGTTCGATTGACTTCGTCAGATTGACTGGCCGGCCGACCGATCGACCGACCGACCAAATGACTGACTGGCTGACTGACTGACTGACGGAGAGACGAAGCCGACCTGAAGCCCGATGATAACGATATCCATTGACTTGAATCTCACCCTAGATCAGACCTCACAGAGATAATTTAATGAGAATGAATGGGAGTCAGCGGCACAGCTGAAGATCTGTGTCTTCAGTTCGCCGGCGGTCCGCGTCTCCTGCGGGCATATCAGTGCCTCCGCTCTTGCAATTACGGCATCGCTCGATATTTTAAAAACAAGCTCGGAGGGAAACATGAGGAATTCGTTGGTCATGCGTTTTGTGAGCTCTGGATTGTTTGTCTATTTCCAAAATACAGACCGATTCGCACGAAGTGAAACGTTTGGAGCTCAAAGCGCAATGCGAACGATAAGGGATAATCCCCTGGATGTCCGCATAGTGTTTGCCAAGTAAGTTTACTCGTCTCTACTCGCGATTCATCCCGTTCCTCCGCGAGCCAAGGACGAGATGTGTGTGCGGAAAAACTTTCCCCCCATGGGCCGAATGTTTGAAATGTTCTTCCCTGGGGAACGGACAGACGAGCCGAGGAGACTGATATCAAATATGAAACCAAGGAGAAAGAAGATCAGATACGATATCTCCCGATATCTCATATTCTTGACCCAGAAGTCGGCTCGAGTGTGGCAGACGGGATATCAACCACTCGATAGGTGAGATATATGCATCTGTGGGCTTCACTCATCGAGCTGAAGCCCCGAGGCGTTGAATCGTCTTTTCCGACCGCTCGAAAATCCCGACCAACATTTCTGCCGATACTGGTATCGCACATGCCGTGTCTCCCAAGATGATCAGACAACTCATGTATGTTCCAAGGGAGAGCTACGCGCCACTGTAATCGTCGGATCACGTTCATCACGATGACCCTAGCGTGACCTCGATGGATCGGTAGCTGATGCGAGAATTAATAAACAGAGTACTGGAAGCGAAAGTGACGAAGAGAGTCGCAAAGCGAAATCGACGAATATCAGTCTCTTGGAAGAGCAGAAAAGAATGGGGGCTCCGACGCTGTGTCACGGATATTGCGTCGGTCTTTACCGTGTTGAAGTCCCGTAGTGACACTATTCAAAGGCACTATCCCGCGGAGAACGAGTGTTTGATCGCTCCTTCGAATACACAGTTATCGACACTTCTCAGAATGAAAAATGTCAAGCGGGGAAAAATCTTGGAAAAGTCCCAGATAATCGGCAAGCGCGGAACAGATACCTGGTGGCCGTTAGAAGTAGAAGAAAAGACCAACGTGGAAAGTCGCGACGTGTGGTCGTCGGTATGCTTGCTCGCCTGCCCTAATGTAGCTTTTAATCGAACCTATCGACGACGGTGGTCGCTGCGGCCGCTGCTCAGGCTTTGCGGGATACATGGACGCGGTGGGTCGCTCACTCGATCAATCGGATGGACCGGGACAAAAGCGTTGACGATGGACCAGAATAGACAATAGCTCACGGAAAATATCGTTCTGGCTTTCGGAATGTTCCAGATACAGTGGAATGAGACGACACTCGGGATTAAGACTGGGATTACCATTTGTAAAGATCCGTTTAGCTTTCGGCTTGAGCGGATTGTGGATTCCAGAGCGGTCCGCATCGGCGCAACCCTTCCTCTCTTCCTCATCTCGGCGGGATTTGGTTCACTCATCGATCTTGGTATTCCCAACATGTACAATACGCGTACAAATGAATGAAATGATAAAAATCGGGAACTGGGATACCGTTCCCGGCCCTGAGTAACGACAACGACGTACCACCGCTCATATCGAATCTGAGGTTTGAGGATCTGGAAGCGCCATCCAGGTACCGCCCAGGGATCAGGAGATGAACTATCATTCCTCCGGAACTCCGTTTCCGAGCGGGAACGAATGGAAGGACAGTTTGTATAGAATGCTGAAAGAAAATGAAGGATAGCTACCTAGCGCAGGACCTTGGGACAAGCCTATTTGGTTCCGGGCAGGAAACCGCAGGCCCGTGATAGCGATCAATTACGTAAAGGAATGCTCGGAATATCGCAGTGGTTCGTTGAGCGGCGAAAAATTACTCGCAAAACACCCGCCATCGACCACGATCCAAAGAATGAAAAAAAGGCTGTGACAGTTGTAATCGCGCATCCTTTTTGATGATGCGGTCCGGAAAAAAAACACCACGATGTAGCCTGGCCGCAGGCACAGCTTCCGGAAACCGCATAAAATTCGAATAAAGTGTTGCTTCTCTTGGATCTGCTGCTTTCGCTCCCAGACAATACCATATTGCCATATTGCTTACTGATTTCCACACAAAAATACTGTCCAAAACTCAGGCGAGCCGCTTACCGCCAGGGAGGTCAAGCATGAGATCTTTTTCGGAGGAACGGATTGTCTCACGGTCGCAAAAAGTTGCTGTCGCGGGAGGTTTCTGTCCGTTGAGAGCGTTTCGGAAGTTGTCGCTAAAAGTTTCCCCGATTCCGCGGGCGTATCTAGAGGAAAACGCTTATTCGAAATCTCGAAGAGGCAGCTATCAGGCTTCCCAGAAGTTACCCGCTCATTGATGGACGGTTGGGGAGGAAAGACGCTTGAAGCCTCAGACAGATGGTCGGAGCGAAAGAAAACTCGTGAATGAAAGGATGAAAGCGAAATCGCAATTGCGGGGGACGGCGCGGCGGCTGCGGCGATGGCGAAGTCTCAGAGGAATATCCTTAAAAAATCCCCGTGGACGCTTTCAAACGAAGTAGCCGTTTTTTTCCGACCCGAACCGTGGACTTTCCCGCCAATCCGCCCATTCTCTGCTACCCCTCGTGGGTTGCACTCCGGAAACTCACCTTCTTGTCTCAGATAGCTACGATGGAAGTGAGTTATGGATGGCATGACGCGCATCTCACCTTTTCGAGCCTTTTCATTAGAGCGAAAATACGCAGGAATGTGGATGCATTATCAAAAGATTCCTTCGCTAAACGATACAATGGCAGGGAGAGAGAAAGTTCCTACTCGTGGCGATATCCAAAACATCATCGTCATCATCTTTATTATTGCGGTTAAGCATTGCTTTCAGCTGGGAGGGAACCAGCTCCGACTAAACATTGCATGGTGTTGCTATGCCTTGTGCCTCCGCAGATGGATATGTCCGAAAGCGCTTCTCCCTGAAATGAAGTGATAGACCACGGTATGTTCGCGATCGCTGACGCTCACCCAGAGCAGGCATTCCGCCATCGACGGCGCCGGTTCTCCAATAAGTGCGCTCGCTTGTAGGAACGAAAAGAAAATGAGGAATGTGAGTTCATGGGGGAATGATTCAAGCTCTACACGGAATCCGAGCTGAAACTAAGCCGCTTCTGAGAATCCGAAAGTCCATTGCATGAGCAGTCGAGCTCGGCTCAGTCAGCATTCATTCGTACGCCCCTCCCTACTGATCCATTTCGTCGGCGGCGTGTCGGAGAAGCGATGATCTGTGTGAAATGAGGCGAATTATTGATGCAACCGGTAAGGAACTCTTTGGCGAGCTACAGATAATGCGAATGACATCGGGATGACTCCGTTTGGAACTTGTCTTAGGCGAAACATGTCTGAGAAGTTTGGATAGGTACCGAGTGGAGGTCTGAAGCGAGACGGCGAGACAACCTCGTATAGCGAACGAGTTCAAGCGGTTGCGACTCGGAGAGGAGTCTAGTCGAATAGCAGACGTCGCGCAATGAGCAAAAAGAACTCTGAGCGACTGGCCGCTCACCGCTGCTTCCTTGTCCACCGATATTGCCTTCGATACATTTGAGGTACCGATGCTTTCGCTGGTTGTGATACAAACAACGGATCGATGACCAAATAGCCCACACCTGATTTTTTGTGCATGGCCAGTAATTATTTTGAGCACCATCGGCTTCTGCGACGGTTCTCGGCCGGACGGACCTACGTTCGACGGCTTACTAGGTGTCCGCACTCCACATCGCGCCGACTATTTTTTAACCTTATCAGGAGCGGATAGGAGCAGCTGTACGGTGTGATCGTGAAGAAATTTTCCTGCGATAAATCACCGGATTATTACTTGCCTCGATTCTCGACCCCCCTCGAGAGGGGGGTCGAGACTCTCTGTGGAGTTCCGCGGGGAACCGTGATGAGCCATGCTTATCCGCGATATCATCGCCGTCTTCCAGCATCCGATTCTCGCGAAGAATCTATGGAACTTCCTTGTTTTTGACAATACCGGCACTGATGTGAGTTTTTACCCTTGTTTCCGAATGAGGCGAATACTCGATCTCTCAACTGTTGGAGGAAATTGTCGACGCGACAATATGACGGCCGGAGAAGTAACTTGATAGAGAAACTATATTCCCTGGTCTGGATCGAGAATAGGACCCGGATCCCTGATCGAAGGCGATGTTGATCTTGGATTATCGCGAAAGTAGCCTCCAGTAGCCGAACTTTTGTTTCGGTACAGATGCGATCAGGAGTGCTTCGGATGGAAAACGAAAATCCACCAGTGCACCCAGTATCGCGAGTGACCCGTACGATTTTCGAACTCGCATTGTCTTCTCTTGAGATACGATCGATGAGATTGAAAGCAGCCGCGATTCTTTCGTTGATTTTCCGCCCGCGGCTCCCTCCGTGGAGAATCTTCCCCTGTTCTGAGAAATTCGTGGGCGCATGTTATTCAGTTGGCCCGGGTTCGCGGAAAAATTCCGCAGCCGGGTGTATACGCATGTCGCCTGTGACCGGATACATTTGGAAGCGGACTTCAACCTCCTGGCGTCCTAGTCGAAGACTGAAAGAAAGGAGTTTTCTGCGCAAGAACCCGTCATTCATCCTTTGAACATTTCGAGGACGAAGATGAATGCGATCGATAAATCACTTTCTCTTTGCAGGCGAAGGAACGCAGCACATTGCTGTGGCTGCTTAGCAAAGCGTACAAGGGGCAAGTGCCGACGGACCTGCGGAGCCCCCATTATAAAGAGTCAGGGGTGAGTTGAAATTTCCTTCTCAATTACAAGGACTCCGGTCACTCGAAGCTTGATCTTGAGCAACGAAGAGTCGCGAGAACGGAGCGAACCGCTACCCAGTTCTGTGGAAAGTAGGGCTAACATCACGCCGGTCCGGTGACAGCTGGTCACGACAGTTCCGTTTGGGAAAACCAATGGAGGTCTCTCCCGGTCGAATAACCCTCGAGTAGTTCGGTGTCCTGATGTCGATCTTGCAACGACACAGACATGGTCTTGAGTGCAAGTAGTAGAAGAGATAGAACTTCTGACAAAAACGCCGAAATAATCATGCAACTCTTGCAGAACCAGTACCGTCTAAAACCAGACATCGTGGATTTATTGTCATCATGCAAAATCTATTGCATGGTTCTTCGTGAAATATACGATGACCCATCGTACTTCGAGCTGTCATTTGGTCAGATCCTCATCATGTTGGCTCGGAAAGGCATCGAGGTACAGAACTTGAAGGAAGGACTCAAGATCACGCCGAGGATCTTAGAGGAATGCAGCCCTCTGAACATGGTTCGTTTCGGTAGTTATTTCCAGTTTGACCTTCACACGTTTCTGAGCACGATTCGAATACCTATTTCTTGTTCCCAAAAACTTGCAGTCGGCTCACTTGAATTTTGCTGACGCTCTCATGGAGCTCTTCATCCGAGAGATCCTGATTCCATCGAAAGTCCAGCAAGTTGTCCAGCGCTTCGCGAATCCTCACCCGAAATCAGGATCCGCCCCGTCAACGATAGGAGACTCGACGCTTCAGATGGACTCCGGGGATGCAGCGCTTCTATGGATCAATCGAAGTGCTCAGGTAAACGAGGGTCGGATGACAACGTGAGCTACAGGGCAGGTACCCGGGTTAGACTGTGGAGTGAGCATCGAACGCAAGCGGCTTCGGGGAGAGATTGCAAATTACGCCCTGAGCGTACTATGGGAGGGCACCTACGCGGCCGGAGGTGCGCCGAAGGCCTCAATAGGCGACGGCTCGGGAAATTCCGATTCCGTCGGTGCTCACTAAATGCCTCGGACCCTTCGATTGCGATCCATTTTTCCCCGTGGGAGCTTTCGTTCGCGAGCTTGTGAGCTCATCTGATGAACACTCCTGATTTCGATGGATAGCCAACGAGCGATACTGAACAGACCTGTAAAATTATTCTTTCTTGCAGTCATTGAGAGAGAAAGTTCACACGGAAAGCAGAGAGATCCTGCCAAAGATTGTTCATATCCAGGTGAGTTCTCGAGCTCATCACTCTGATTGGGAACACCTCAGATAATGGGTCGTAGTCACATCCTCATGGCAAGTCAGCCACTATTCAATTATAGCTCACTGTGGGCCAGTACTCGGTTTTAATTTGCTTTTTTTCGACTAAACCCACCAACTGGTAGACTGTATGAACGAGGCATCTGCATGTGAAGAGCTTCCCCAAACCTGGCAGCAGCCGACCAAAATGTCCAGAGCGGCTGATTCATGAGGCACAATGACACCGCGAAGTCGCTTTTAATGACGTCGGAAGACAAGGGAACAGCTGAGAATACGCATAAACGTGCGTCAAAAGATGCGTCTCCCGATTTCATGCAATTACCCGTGAGGAGAAGAAGAGACGAACATGACTCTTCTCCTTCATGTCCGCCTCAGCGTCAATCTTTCGGAAGGATTGAATTTAAGGAAAGAAATATGAGTCAGCTTTGAATTCTCCCACCTCCGTCGGGGAGTTCCGCGGATCAACTTCCGCCGAGAAACTTGGAAGTCTTCCCTTTGTAATCTATTCCTTTGATTGCTATTGGTAACCTTATATTGAATCGAACTGCTCACAATCAGTCCGACTTCCTTCGACCACTTCCACGTTCCGTGCAATTTCCATGATGCGCCGAATTCAAGCCACCGGTCGACCGCATTGCTCCACGATGGTCATATATTTCGTATCAGGGTTTCGTTGTCTTACATTCGGTTGAATGAATGACGGAGTGCTCTGTCCACAGATAAGTGCCGGTATCCCCGGTAAGGAGATGTAATAGGAGCGGGGAGGAGAACCAAGGGATAATCATTCCGAATCTATGTTTCAGGATCTGACGGACCTCTCGGACGGTAGCGCTTTGGCTTGCCTCATTTCCCTTTACTGCCCAGAACATCTGAGTTATTACGACATTAACTTCTCGCCTTCGATGTCTCTGGCTGACTCTCTCACCAACCATCATCTTATCAAGGAATTCTGTGAGAGGCATTTGCCACAGGACGTTCACTTCATTACGATTGAGGACTTGCTGTTCCCACACGCGGCGATCCGAACAAATATTCTTGTCTTCATAGCAGATTTGATGTATCTGTTCGAAATCAAGCCGTGCAAAGTCGTCCAGGTCCCCGGCATCGCACAGTATGTCGTAAAACGCGAGTCAAATGAGGAGATTCCGATTACCGCGCTGTAGAGATGTCGCGATCGAGGAATTCTCCGACACCACTCTCTATACGAGCTATAGAATGTTGGGTGGATTCGTGAACCGAAATGCCATATGTTGTTAATAAGTTATTGTTTTGTAAATAAAGCTCCCGCCGCTTGCCCAATGATCCGCCACGTGTATTTCTTGAGTCCTCGTCAAAAGCTCCATGGAACGAGAGCTTGGGGTTCCCGAACACTTCGAATCAGAATATCCCAGCTTGTCAACTCGTATCTTACACTCTTCTGCGTAATATGTCGCTTCTGTGACGCTCGTAGTCGATGCAATGACTCCGATTCGACTACAAACGTATCCACAGGGAATTTGATTCGAATCTCAATTAGTCACCGAAGCCGATTACAGAAATTACGGATGTTTCCAATAAATTACGCTGAAAGCGGCGGATTTCTCGCCGGATTTTCCTTCCTCTCCACACGCAAGCCGTCACGACTACGGCTTGGGCTATGTCGGGCGGAAGGTCCATGATCTGCGAACTTGCGATGCATCGCGTCTCTAGGTGAGAGCATCGTCTCTGATCTCTGAGATTGAGACACGGGGCCCCAGGAAGAACTGTTTTGGCCGGCTGCCATCGCAAGTTTGCCGGCTGAGATGATGCTTGCTTCCTCTATAATCCTACAGCCCGTATTCGCGATCATTCCGGCATCTCAGCTCAAGATTGGGACGGCCCGCGAAGAATGGACGGCGGCGGCCGTCGGAACAATAACCCCATCTAGGAGCCGCGTTTTGTTCGTCCTCGAACATGTACGATTATTCGTTCTCCAGAAGGAGGATCACCCTCCGTGAGAGTCGCGCACTCAGACTGTAAGGGGTAGCATTGCTCAATCGACAAACAATTTTGTTGTCCTGTTGAACCTCCCAGAGCTGGGGCTTCTCTTTATCGTCGCCGCCATAATGGCGGCGCCATTGATGAAGTTCCGATACCCCCGTCGATTTTCTTTGTTTGCTCAAGCGTGGGAGGGAGTCGAGAGTCGATCTTCTTGCGAGGTAGTGTAGTCACGCTCACATCCGCTATCAGAACATCAGCCGGCACACTTCATCTTTCCATCAGCCGGAGTTTCTTGCATTTTTATGCAAATGGCGACAGCTAACTCGAAGATCGGGATGGCTCCAAGGATCTCCATTTCTCGCGCGATATCTTTCAAAGAACAGCGACTGAAAGATCTGTGCTCCGCTAACGAATCAAAAGATGCGGGAAACGCACTAGTCGAAGGGCTGACAGATATTGCACGACACTCGTTGTGCTCGTGCGCACATTTCCATCGCTCGTCTGTAGTCTCGACTCCGGCTACACCTGCATTCTCCGGAGTTCACCCAACCAATTGTAGACATTGTTGTGTTCGGCTCGACATGTGGACCCTTCCCTCAGCAGGAAACGAAGTCTGGGTACGGGAGAGATGACGAAAATTTTTGAATGCCAATGGGAAACATTCCGATACTCATTGAGACGAGGCTCTTAATTCGAGCGCCTGGACTCAAAGAGGTGCTGTGGGACAATCGGGATGGAACATGACAACGTCATGCTCTCTTCTGCTGGGACGATGAATCACGATTGAGAGAATTCTTCTGTTCCGAACATCGATACGAGCTCGATGGCTGCTAATCAAATATGCAGGCGGACATCTCAGAAAATCCGGACAACCTCATACCGGACTAGCCTGTGGTTTGTCAGCGTAAAGGATTTCATGAATGTAGGCACTATTCTAAGCGGAACGCTCAAGTATTACCTGTCGGATCGGGAGGGAAACCTTGTACAGAAAAATCACTCATTTGTACCGGAGCAGATCGGGCGAAACTCACACGTTTCTTCCGAGAAGCCATCAAACTTTCTGTTGTTGGTACTTTGCTCCTTACCTAAGAATAATAGCATCAGAGTCGAGTATTTTCGGAGGGAATCGGATACGAACATCATGCGATGACAGCTGATCGTGATGATCCCATTCACCTCGAACAACTCGTTCAGACATGAATATTTCAGCAGATATCAACGTCAAAAAAATACGAGTTATCAGCCAGTGTACGGTCAGCCGGACAGAGAATCGCGTACGGAAATCCTCGATTAAAGCCCTGGAGCGAGCTTTCTGTTCATCCCCCGGCTCAAGTTGTCACCACCGGCACTGATCCGTACAGATTCTTCCTCCATTGTTTTGAACGGGTAGTCACGGAGAAGAGGCTTCGCTGGCCCGACTATGAGAAACATTTTGAGCGACGCGGTAGCACGTATCACGCACGAATGCCTGATGCCCCCCGTACCTTGAAGTGATCGAGGACCGTCCGAGTTCAGGCAAACGAAGGCTTCTCGGGTAATGGGACGGAAAACATTGGTGCACTCTCTAGATCAGCGGTTCCCAACCTGGGAGCCGCGGGACTTTTCTGGGGGAGCCGCCGAACGTGGTAGCCGACTCTTCTGGGGCACGTCCGGGCCGTCAGGGTTTGTCAATTCCAAGGGAAGGTTCCAAAACGGATCGACTTCATCCGCCTTAGTTGCCGGAATTGAGCTGCGAATGGTCTTTTCAGGGGAAAAAGGAGGGAGTGTAGGTAGGAATCCGCGGGAGCCGCGTGGGCACTGGTATCCTGGGAGCCGCGGGGGAATTCTGGGTTCGCTAGGCAGCCGCGGAGCCAAAAAGGTTGGGAACCGCTGCTCTAGATCGTCGCAGGGAATTGCCGAAGGACGTAGACTCGGCGAGGATCGTTCTCCTAGCAAAGCCTGAGCTTTCCTGGCTCAATATAATCTCAACTTGCGCTCCGTCAAACAAATCAACGCGATGCTCCTCGCCCATGATCACGTGGACCGCTGAAGCTTTTCGACTTGCGCTCCGCATCTGGGCACCGAGTAAACGGAACATGAAGAAACATACACAGTGTTCAGGTCTTGTCCGATTCTTATATTGGTCGGATCGATGCCGTACGCTCATGATCGCTCCGAGAAAATCACGGACAAATGTGGCCTAGAGGTGCTACATTGGAATCGACCGAAGGCTCACGACTCACGACTATTTTCTCGAACCAATCTTCTCTCTTCCTCACGTCGGAGCCTCGGCTTCCCTCTGCAGGAGAGCTTTGGGCGGTTGCCTGCGACGTTCCGAATCATGCAACTCATCCGATATTGCAAATTTGGAATTCGAGGTCGTGCAAGGGCCGTCCGAAATCCGATATTCCTCCACTTGGGGAAGATATTTCGGAGCCCGGAGTACTTTCAATGAACTGAAACAAAGCACCGGAGAAGAGAGCTCCTCGCGGGGATTATCTCCTGCTGCGCCGAGTCTTTTCTTGTTCGCAAAACGATTCTCCTTAGCGGAGTTCAGATGAATCGCGGTCGAGGGAATACAGAGTCTCTGTAAAACATCTTAGTCCATGAATCGGACGCGAACGGTCCAGCGTGAGTGTGTGTGTGACATGAATCTGGAGCGTTCTGACTTTTCATTTCAACCAAGCCTGGACATTCCACTTTGTGTTGGAGATATTCGAGGGAGGAATAGCTTTTTTCTCCAGGATCTTAAAAAGATTTCATCGTTCTGATTGTATAAGGGGCGGTGGTTGTGTGTTGCTGGCGGTCCAGCCCGCTATTGAAACCGCTTCAGCGAGTAGCTCCGCGTGCCTTGCTGGAACGAGTAATCATCGTCGGCGAGGACCTGAAACACTATTGAACGCCAGAACATGAGATGATCATGACTTTTGTTGTCTTTCTCAATATCCTTTTCTTCTCGCTATCCATTGTCGGACCGTACAGAGGAAATTAATGGGGATCATTGATGGGGTGAATCCGAAGGATCGAGGGACGCGATATCCGAGTTAGTTCCGGAGAATCCTAGATATTTATGTCCTCGTATAAGATGAAGCCTTGTTCCAAGTCTCGGCCAGGAGACGGGGCCACCGAAGATCTGGAAGCTTCTCGGATGAAGAGTTATTTTGAAATCCAAAAAGCGGGCTCTGCTTGCCAATGCACGTTATATCCTGTCGGTAGCAAGCGGGAGGGGACGTTCAAATAGAGAGTCTGCGTTTCTCTGACTCAAGATTCCACGGAGAATTCGCTCAGTTTTTGAATAAGTTCCGACGCGGGCTCCGTTATATCTTCGCGTTTTTTTGTCGCATCGGAAACGCCATTTCGACCCCGGCGAGCTTCACAATATGCAGGAAAAATGACAAGAACAGGGGTTTGATTAGCGGCTTTGACTTTTGAAGTGTGACAAAAATCCCGAGGCACGCCATGTGCTGCGGTTGTGGCAAAAGATGATGACATAGTTCATTTGCGAAAGGCGTTCATAACGGCGCGAAATATGCATTGTGTCGGTCTGTTCGTCCGTCGCTCCTGTCGTTGGCTGGCTCATCGTTTGCCGACAGTCCGCCGTTCGTCCATTAGTTTAACACGATGGTGTCGTGGTCGACGTCCTAGCATTTGAGTCAGGTGGGGTTCGCATGCAATCCGGATAGCAAGTTCACTTGGAGTGGCAAGATGAGCCGTCCAAGAACTGTCCGTTCCACATAGGTATGGCGACGCGCGAGGTCCATGGCTCAGATGGGCGGACGGACGGGTTCGGAACGGGCAGCTAGACAATCAATTCCAAGTGGATTTTCTGGCTCCGACTTCTGACCCCAAGACCGACTTTTGACGAACCTCGGGAAGTCGGAGGGCAGCTGAGACTTCCACTCACATCCAACTTGAGTCAGAGAAATTCAGTCCGAAAATGCGGGAACGGGCGTTGGTTAGCAGTAATACGTTGACTTCGGATCAGAACGACGATGGCTTCTACCACCCATAAGAACCTCTAGCAATATTGCTCTGAATCTCTAAATGCGGAGTCTGCAATCAGAATCGAAGTCCAGATCGACGCAGTTCCTCGCTCGATGAGAATCTCGAGAATTCTGCGTCGATTGGGACAAAGTACGAGAGAAGGTTATCCAGTTCAGAGATTCTCATAGATCAGAGAATTCCGGCTCGTTTCGACAATCCACCGCAGATCGATGATCTCCCG